ATTTTCATCTAATTTAAATGAGCAGCATATCTTATGTAAAAAAAAAAAGTACAATTTAACAAAAGAGACAAGGAAATTTAAAACTTACCCAATTATCATGTGCTTTTTTCTCATGGGAAATAATCTGAAAAAGAAAGTAATTAAAATGCCACTGACAATTATTTTTCTTAAGTAAAAAACATTCACAGCTACCACTATGATGTAGCAGACAACCCAAAAATATCCCAAGCATCTCTGAAGAGTAAGCAACATTTTTAAAGCAAATTTTCATGTATGCATAACCTATTTTAAAACAAAAGCTAAATGTAAAGACAATTAAAGTTTTTGTTTGGTAAAATTTTACCTTATGTAATAATCAAAAGGAATTGCCAATTAACATACAACTTGTCTGACTGAATATAAGACCCCACTGTTGATACGAATTTATGTGACGCAATCTACCTTCCCAAAGCAACAGGAGATATGGCAATTTTAATTTTTTTTTTTTTTTTGAGATGGAGTCTCACTCTATCCCCCAGGCTGGAGTGCAATGACGCAATCTCAGCTCACTCCAACCTCTGCCTCTTGAGTTCAAGTGATTCTCTTGCCTCAGCCTCCCAAGAAGCTGGGATTACAGGCATGTGCCACCACCCTCGGCTAATTTTTGTATTTTTTTTTTTTTTAAGTAGAGACAGAGTTTTGCCATGTTGCCCAGGCTGGTCTAGAACACCTGACGTCAAGTGATCTGCCCATCTAGACATCCCAGAGTGCTGGGATTACATGCTAGAGCCACTGCGCCCAGCCAATATGGCAATTTAAAATAAGACTTCTTATCCCAGAATCTTTGGCTCCTTGGAAATGTCCCATAGCCACATGCAACACCTCAAAAGAGGTGTACAACTGGTCAAGTAATTACATTTCTGCAAAATTCAAACAAATCAGAATTATTTTAAATTACACACACACACAGATACACACATACACATATATACCTGCCCTTGATAAGAATGAATAGTTCTCTCCAATTCTTCTTCAAGATCTTTGGCTCGCTTTCTAAATGGAACGAATAATTATTCTACTATTAACATACATAAGAAATGACAGAACTTACTATCTAGTAAAAAAATATTAATTAAAACACCCAGAATGCTCTATTTCAAGTAAAAAATAACTCCAGAACTCCCCATTAAGAAATAATCACCTCTGAGAGGTTCTACAGTATAATTTTTCCTAAACTAATTTTAACATTGATTACAACTTAAGAATACTGCTACTTGAGTTCACCTAAGCCAAAAGTCACACAAGTATTTATATTACACGGTATATTGGTTTTTTCTTTTAAGAAGAATGATCCTAGAAGATTTATTCAAATGTTGGTAGTCTTTTTTTTTCTCTGAGACAGCGTTTCACTCTTGTTGCCCAGGCTAGAGTGCAGGGGTGCAATCTCAGTTCACTGCAACCTCCACCTTCAGGGTTCAAGCGATTCTCCTACCTCAGCCTCCTGCGTAGCTGGGATAGGCGCCCACCACCATGCCCAGTTAATTTTTTGTATTTTTAGTAGAGATGGAGTTTCATCATGTTGGCCAGGCTAGTCTCAAACTCCTGACCTCAGGTGATCCATCTACCTCAGCCTTGCACAGTGCAGGGATTATAGGTGTGAGCCACTGTGCTCAGCCAGATGTCAGTAGTCTTAATAGAATTCAAGGAAATTAGCAATCATTGTGAAGTAAAGTTACTTGTTACTTTTCTGACATTAACATAATCTCATAAAATAATTTCTTTGGATAAAACTCAAGCTTGCTCTTCCTGAGGTAAAATGAAGCATCACAACTATTTGGGATACTACTGAATCTTGCCCTTTTTTCCTCTATATTTTCTATTTCCTGGGATCTAGTAAGGATCAAACCAAGGTAAACTCTAGATTTATAGTCTTTTAAATACTTCAGAACGCTCTGTCGCTCACTCTTCTTTTTGTGGCACACCTATTGATTCACTGACACTACATACATTCTTCTCAATTTGAACCAAAGAGGAAAGACCTTAAAATATCTATTCATAAATATCTTGACACTAACATAAAATAAAATTGTCCATATTCAGCTGTGAGAGATTTTTAAAATTGCACAACCTGAAAGAAAAACATTTTTCCTGTCTACATTTTCTGTATAATTGCTTAAAACCAATAAATCCGAATGAAAAGTGATGACAAAAATATATTATTTTTAGTCTGCACCAACTGTCAGATTTTAAAATGTTTTCTATTTTCAGTTGATTTATTATTTTTTCTGGCATTAAGTTTTTTAGATACTCTTCTCATCCCAAAAAAGAAACGGGGAAAATGTATTTAATACCTATAGGTCTCCAGCTCTTCAGTGGCATGGCTGATCTTTTCGTCTACTTTAGAAAGTTTTTCTTCTTTCTCTAACCGGTAATTTTCCTCTACTGTTAATTTCCTTAAAGCAAAAAGAGTTTTAATTATTTTAATACATGTCATAAGACAATTCTATCTTTTTAATTGTACCAAAACTGGCAATTCCTGTAAAGTGATTTCTAAAATACCACTGAAAACATCACCTGCAAGGAAAAAAAAAAAAAAAAAAAAGCACCTGTATAAATATTCCTGGAGTGGAATTTAATATTACAAACTCAAATTGTAAAGCACTATGTCTAATCCAGAACCACTAATGGTTTTCTACTATAATACTACTACTACTACAAGAGTTTTCTGTGTAAATTTATCTTGAAAATAGGACCAAAGATAAGTTTAATAAAAACTATTATGACTATCACTTTTCAAGCCTTTCTGTATAAACAAGCATTACATTTGCTAGTAAGAAGTCACCAATTAATAAAATAAAATTATGTTTCATTAACCTTTATACTGGTTAGTGATTAGGCTTCCAGGCAAGTATACACATACACATACATACACACACACACACACACACACACACACACACACACACACACACACA